AAAGGGGAAAAGGGGGGGCCCCCCCCCCCCCCCTCCCTCCTTCCCTTTTCTTTTTCTTGGGGGTTTTAAACCCCCCCCCCCCCCTTTCCCCTTCCCCCTTCTCCTGGGGGTTTTTACCCCCCCCCCCCCCCCCCGCCCAGGGGGTGCCCGCCGCCTGTCCGCAGCTTCCACCACTCTTGCATCCAGCATGTCCTCACCGCGCCGAACGCATACACGAGGAAGTGTCCGATCTGCCGCCGCACCCTGGCCCGCCCGCCCGTCGGACCCAGCTCCAGCATTGCGCAAGGACGACCGGCACCGGTCCGCGCCACTGTCATAGCCGAGAGAGAGCCCGGGAGGGACCGCCAGCTCGCACTTCCCCAGCTCTTCACGGCCCGAGGTAAGCCACACACCTCGCTACTCCCCAGAACTTGCTCGGAACCTTCCGGGCGCGAAGTCGGGCCGGGGCCCGGCACGGTTCACACGGCGTTGACGGAGCGTGGCATCCCCTCCCCCCCCCCCCCCCCTCCCCCATCCCCAAGGCCTTCAGGGCTCGCACCTCAACCTCTCATAGACTAGCGCGCAGCGCCATGGCAGGCATTTTCTTCTCAACAACAAGTTCTGTGAAACTAGGCGCCGCGGCCGGGGACGGGGGGCGGCGGCCGCGTGGGGATGGACCCCGACGAGGCCCGCCGCTTCGTCAACCCGCGCAACCTCGGCGACTACTCCTCGTCGGCACAGGACGCCTATGCCGGCCGAGGGCCGTCGGCGCGTACGCCGTCGTCGCGGCGGTGGTTTTGATGGACGCACAGCCGGGCCCGGAGTCGTATCTCTGACTCGTCGTACGTAGTTGTGGCCTCGAGCGAGGCGCGCGCTTAAGACGCCACACACCGCTCAGATCCTCTCTCAGCCGCTCCGCCTCCGGCGGTGCGGGACAGAGGCTCAGAGCGCATGTGAGCGCTGAATGATCGGCGCATAGTTGCTCGAGTTGTTTTCTTTGGCAGTAGCTCTGAACGCGCAAAGCGCGCGTGTGGCCGAAATTTAAAGTCTGCGTCGCCGGACGAAACCCGAGAGAGAATAAGCACACACTTTTGGACGTTGAATCAAGCCCACGTTGCTCGTTGGGGAGTGCAGTCGCGAGTCGGTAACCTCAGTCCTCACATCCATTCAAGCAGTTCGCCAAACGGCGGGGAATTCGTGGGACCAACCCGTCGGCGGAGCTCAAACTCACCTCAAACTCGTCAGTTACAATTACTCAGAGTAGACTCTGACTCACGCAGCGCGCTCTCGCTCCCCCCACGTACTCCAAATCTCTCTAATTCGCCAGAGTGTACTTTTGCGCAAGCCCAGCTTGCACAGCATGCAGCGATGCACAAGGCTCGCGCCCAGCATGCGCTACCCCCACCCCCGAATCCGTCACCGCGGCCGACGTCGCCACGTCTCGCGCCGGCCGGCGTCAGTTTTGGAACAGGAAGCGCAAGTCGTCCTCCGAGAGCTGCGAGAGCGAGCCGATGTCTCCGCCGACGGTGCCCTCGAAGACGAGCCGCTTCTTGTCCTGCAGGCGAATGATGCGCTCCTCCACGGTGTTGCGCACGACAAACCGAACCTGCAAAGCGCGGGCGAGGGTGGCGCTGGTGGCGCGGGGGGTTTTGGGGGTGGGTGGTGGGCGGTGGTGGGTGGGTGGAGGGTGGGTGGGGTGGGTGGGGGGCAGCTGCGGTGGGCCGCAGGGGGTTGGCAGTGGCGATGGCGCACCGCGCGGATGGGCTTGTGTTGGCCGAGGCGGTGGGCGCGGTCGATGGCTTGGTACTCGGCGGCAGGGTTCCACCACGGGTCCATCAGGTAGATGTGGGACGCGACGGTCAGGTTGAGGGCGACGCCGCCCGCCTTGAGGGAGATGAGGATCACCTTTGTGCCGAAGTCGTCCTTGAAGGAGTTGAGCACCCCCTCGCGCGCCGCGACGCTCATCCCGCCGTTGAGCTTGACCACCTTGATGCCCGCGCGCTGGATCCGGTACTCGAGCAGGTCGAGGAACGAGACGAACTGCGAAAAGACGATCGCCTTGGCCGCCGGGTCAGCCTCGCTCATCGCGTGCAGCTCCTCCATCAGCGCCTCCATCTTCGTGCTCGAGCGGAACTGGGCCATGTCCAGCCGGCCGAGGATGCCCTTGAGCCGCACGCCGCCGCCGCCGCCGCCGCCGCCGCCGCCGCCGCCCTGCGTGAGCGGCTCCTCTGGCGTGATGCCGCGGCGCGCGCGGCTGGCGCCGTCCGCCTCGGGGGAGCCGGCGGCGGGCGGGGCGTCGTTGAGGTCGACGGACAGAGGCAGCGAGCAGGAGGCGCACGTGAGCGGCGCGCCCGCCGGGCAGCTGTCGACGTACTGCCGGATGCACTCGCGGCAGAAGGCGTGGCCGCACGGGCTCGACGCGACCGGGTCGGTGGCGTCCTCGTAGCAGAGGTTGCAGATGGGTGCCGACGGCGTGGCCGCCGCCCCGCCGCCCCCCTCCTCGATGGCGCGCTTGGAGTGCATCACGAGGTACGGGTGGTCGACCGACTGGCGGAGCCGCGTCAGCAGGTCGAAGATGTGCGCGTAGTTGTTGAGCAGGGTGCCGGCCTGGACGTAGGCGCCAAACTCGGCCTGCGACTGCGTGTAGATGGCCTGGTAAAAGTCCATCTCCGTGTCGTCGAGGAAGTTGGCCTCGAGCGTGATGAGCTTGGGCGGGAGAACCATCTCCTGCGCGCGCCCCTCCTTGGTGCGCCGCAGCAGGCTCTTGTCGAACACCTCGCGCTTGAGCGTCACAAACGCGTTGCGGCCGGCGCCGATGTAGCCATACTTGCGGATCGGGTTGACGACGTCGCGGTTGAAGCGCGAGTAGTGCTGCACCGGCCCGTGGCCGCAGTACTCGCACTTGGAGTAGTTGGCGTCGAACCGGTACTCGCGGCACTTGCAGTTGCAGCCGGGCGCCTTGCAAAAGTAGTAGGCGTGCGGCTCGAGCCGGAGGAACGCGACCAGCGAGTAGAGCTCGCCGACGCGGTTCTGCAGCGGCGTGCCCGAGAGGCACCAGCGGTGCTGTGCGTGTAGCGCCATCATGCTCTGTGCGGTCGAGCAGCGCCGGTCCTTGATGGCGTGCGCCTATGGCCAGAGACACACGCTCAACCGCCGAGAAAGACCCGCGGCGTGGAAAGGTGCTCGGCAGCGCCTCGTCGAGAATGATCCGGAACCAGTGCAAGCGGTGCAGCGTCGACTTTTGCGCCACCCGCTCGAGCTTCTCGCGCCGCTCCTTGGCCCGCTGCGCTCGCACGTTCTTGGCCTCGAGCTCGTCGTCGTCGCCGCCGCCGCCGCCGCCCTCGCCCTCCTCGCCCTCCTCATCCTCGTCGTCGTCGTCCCCGCCGCCGCCGCCGCCGCCGCCGCCGCTGCCCTTCTTCGCCGGCATCTTCTTCTTCTTGGCGTCGCCCTTGCCCGCGCCGCCCTTGCCGCCCTTGCCGCCATTGCCAGGCATGACAACCATCTCGACGTCTTCGCCCTTGGCGCCGCCCTTCGTGGGCGCGTCCTTGGCCACCGCCTTGGCCTTGGCCCTGTTGCCCGTTGCTGCCGCCTTGGCGCCCTTGGCGCCGGCCTTGGCCACCGCCTTGGAGCCCTTGGCCCCCTTGGCCGCCTTGGCGGCACCGCCCGCGCCGCGCTGCCGCTTGCCGTTGTCGTCGTCGTCGTCCTCTTCCTCGTCGTCGTCGTCCTCCTCCTCGTCGCTCTCCTCCTCGTCGCTCTCCTCCTGCTCGCCCTCGCCGAGCATCATGCTCGCAAGCGAGCTGCGCTTCTTCCGCTTCCGCGTCTTGCTCTGCGCGCTCGAGCGCTTCGCGGTGGGCCCGCAGAACCACTTGTGGTGGAAGGCGAGCTTCTGGTCGTTCTTGAACTTGCGGCTGCAGTAGGCGCACTTGACCTGCAGGAGTAGGCAAAGGGAGGGGGTGCGAGGGCAGTGCGAGAGCAAGTGAGGTGCTTGCGCCAGGTGCCATCGGGGCGCGCTATCCTGCTCTCGCAGGGCGAGTGGGGGCGGGACGCTCTCCCGCCGACGTCTGTGTCTGCGGTGCCCATCCCCAGCCTCGGGAGGGGGGCCTGGCGCAGAGCGAAGAGCCTATCTCTGATCTCTGTGCACCTGCAGCTCGGCCTGCGCGATGCGGAAGTCGTACTCGACCGTGTTGTACGTCGTGAGCACCACGTCGTAGCGGGCGAGGACGTCTGGCAGCGACTCGCGCTTCGGGCCGTGGTACGAGCAGACCGTCAGCGTGCCGGCGGCGGTCCAGCGCTTGATCTCGGCCTCCCACTGCTTGAGCGCGATGACCGGCACGACGACGAGGGTGCCGCCCCGCACCAGCTTCTGGCGCACGGCCGCCTCCGCCACGTCTTCCGGCGTCGGCGCCGGCGCGGCGATGGCGGTGGCGCTCATCGGCGCCTTGCCCTTGCCCTTGCGCGCCGGCGCGTCCGCGGCGGCCGCCGTGCCGGCCACCCAATCAGTGGACCGCCGCTCGAGGAGGAGCGAGATGGCCTGCAGCGTCTTGCCCATGCCCATCTCGTCTGCGAGGATGCCTGCTCACAGCAGCTGGTTGTGAAGAGAGGCCGTGTCGGCCAGAAGCCGGCCCCACCTCGCCGGCGAGGGTGCCTCCGCCGATCGGGCCCTCCTCCTGCGCGCACAGCCAGCCGAGCCCCTCCTTTTGGTACGGCAGCATCTGCGCGGTGAGCGTCGCGGGCGGCTCGCGCTGCGTCGTCCAGAGCGACGCGGACGCCTCAACCTCTTTGTCGACCTCGACCTCGCAGAGGGCGGCGACTGGGCTCGTCGCCGCCAGCATCTCGCGCACGCGCGCCGTGTCCGCCTCGGTGAGGAGCTCGTCGAGGCCGGTCAGCTCGCTCTCGTCGGCGAGCGCCGCCTAGAGGGAGGCTCGCGAGATGGCTCCGACGAGGCGCGCCGGAGAGCAGCAGCTCGCCCCTTGGCCGAGCGGCGCCTCGCAGAAGGCGGACGGGAGGCGCGTGCAGTCGAGGTGCTGCCTGATGAGGCGTGGGCGGGTGGGCTGGGAGGGGGGGGGCGCGGTGAGGCGGGGAGGCGGCGGGAGGGAGGCGGCCGGAGACTCTCGAGCGGCGGGCGGGGAGGCGGGGAGGTGGCAGGAGGCGGGGAGCCGGGGAGCCGTGGAGGTGGCAGGAGGCGGGGAGGCGGGGAGGCGGGGAGTGCGGGGAGGTGGCAAGAGGCGGGGAGGCGGCGGGAGGGAGGCGGCGGGAGGCGGGGAGGCGGCGGGAGGCGGGGAGGCGGCGGGAGGCGGGGAGGCGTCGGCGGGAGGCGGGGAGGCGTCGGCGGGAGGCGGGGAGGCGGGGAGGCGGGGAGGTGGGGAGGCGGGGAGGCGGGGAGGCGGGAGGCGGGGAGATGGAGGCGGAGGCGGAGGCGGCTCACCAGCGAGTGATGACGCCCCAGCCGCTCTCCTCGACCTCGAGGCCGATGCGGAGCGAGCGGTGCGGGATGAGCTCGCCGCACACGCCGCACTTTGCGCGCCCCGTCTTCGCGTACTCGACCGAGTAGTTGCCCGTGTGGTTCTTGGGCGCCTCGCGCCACCCCTCTGGCCGCGAAGGCGCCTGGTCGGACGGCCCGGCGGTGGAGCTGCTCCCGCCGCCTTCGCCACTCTTGCAAGGCTCGAGGCTCGCCGCGATGGCCCGCTGCAGCGCCTTGTCCTCCTTCGGACGTGCCGAGCGCTTGGGTGGCGCAGGCCTCTTGGCTCCGCCGCGCTTCTTCTTTGGCGCCTCGTCGCTCTCCGAGCCGGACCACTCTGAGCCCGAGTCGTCGCTGCCGCCGTCGCTGTCCGAGCCAGACCACTCGCTGTCCGATGATTTGGCCATGAGGTGCGTCTCCCGCCTCTAGCCGCGGCGAACACTGAGAAAAGAAAGCTGATTTGCTGCCGCCATTCTCCACTTGTACCTACCTACCTACTTGTGTTCGCGACGTCGTACATTGTTCGACGACGTCGAACACGGTCGAGTAACCGTTGTGAGCCTGTTTGTGTCTGTGTGTCGCTCGTGCGTGTCGTCATCATCTGTCTAGCGTCCACCCATACCGCGTTGGTGTCCAGTCCTGGCTGTTCTTCACCTTTCTACCTACCTACCTACGAGAGTCGTGATTTCTTGTTGGTTAATAAAAATCTCTCTCTCTCCTACGAGCTCTGTGTCTTGATTTGCCAACAATATACCTAAACCTAAGGGACGTTCGGACCCCCCGCTGCTCGCCTCGGCCTATCGCCGCTGGTACTGAATATGAGATCAGGATGAAGCGAGTCGGACCACTCAGAAGCTGACCTGAGCAGTGCCACTTTCAACACGGTCAGGGCGGGAAGGGCGGACATGGACCCGCCGCGAACTCCCGTGTGTGTGGGCAGTAGCTGCCGGCCGTGAACCCCTTCCCGGACCAGAACGAACGAGCGATGATATGACTGGGCGACAAATGATCGCAGTGGGCGTCAGAAGACTCGTCCTTACCTTGCTCGAGGAGAGCTCGATAGACTCGAGGGGCCAGGATATGCAGCAAGGAGGGCGGAGCTGCGACGAAAGGCGAAAGAAGCCGCGAGAACAAGGGAACGGCAGGCGGCGGCGGCGCTGGACGAGGCAGAGCGCAGAGGAGAGCGACGCGACCGACAGACAGAGGAAGGAGTGACAAGGGAGAGCACAACGAGAAGGGGGCGACCGCGAGGTGGCACGAAGGTTGCAGCGAGAATCGGAGAGAGAATGCGAAGAGAGATAGGAAGAGGCGGACGCCCAAGGGTGGGCGACGGCTAGCGCACCACATCCCTCAAAGTGCACTAAAGATGCAGTAAGATAAACACTTCACACTGCACTAAATTTAGACCCAAGCGCCCTCCCCCGTAGGTAGGTAGGTAGAAAGGTGAAGAACAGCCAGGCTCGGACTGGACACCAACGCGGTATGGGTGGACGCTAGACAGATGATGACGACACGCACGAGCGACACACAGACACAAACAAGCTCACAAGACACACAGCCAGCTGGCTGCCACACACCCTGACGAGTTGGCGTACACATAACTCAAGGCCACATCCTCCCTGTCGCCCCCCCCAGCACTCCAAGGTGCCAAGAGAACAAACAAGGGCACAACAAACAACAGACGACAGGAAGTAACATGTGAGACTAGAGCAGACCGCTCCGCCTCTAGCAATCTCGCCGGCCGGCGAGGCGCGTGGGCTAAATCTAGGCCGCACGTCGTGGCACTTTGACGAAGTTAGACGTGCGGCCGCAGCGCGCCCGCCGCAGGCTCGGCGGTGCGCGCGTGTAAGAACAGCTCGGGAAGAATTCTTAAGATACAAGCCTCTCTCACAGCACACTGGCACGACAAGGGCGCAGACTGGCGCGGACTGGCACACACACAGGCTCACCACCGGAGCCGCCTAAGCGACTCCGTTAAGAACGGCAATGCACTCCGCACCATGCACAATGCCGCTCTCCCCGCACGCTAGCTCGTTCACCGTCTGCCACGCCACGGCGGTGTGGAGGACGACAGACAAGCGCTGCATCTGCAGCCCGTGCCAGTTCTTGGTGGTCCATGTGACCTCGTCCAGGTGCTGAGCGTGCGAAAGTTTGTTGCTCAGCTGGTTCGCCGCCTCCCTCAGGGTGCTGCGAACCTCCTTTCCAAAGCCTCCGAAAGCCTCAAAATCAAACAGCTCGGGAAGAATTTAGACAAAACAACTCTCTCTCACAGCTCGGGAAGAATTTAAACAAAACAACTCGCTCTCACAGCAGACAGGCTCGACACAGGTGCGAACTGGCGCGTGCTAGTACTATCACCGGCACACCACCGGAGCCGCCTAAGCGACTCCGTTAAGAACGGCAATGCACTTAGCTCCGTGCACAATGCCGCTGTCCCCGCACGCTAGCTCGTTCACCGTCTGCCACGCCACGGCGGTGTGGAGAACGACAGACAAGCGCTGCATCTGCAGCCCGTGCCAGTTCTTGGTGGTCCATGTGACCTCATCGAGGTGCTGAGCGTGCGAAAGTTTGTTACTCAGCTGGTCCGCCGCCTGCCGAAGAATTCTGCGGACGCCGTCCCCGAAGCCGCCGAACGTCTCGAAGTCGAGCAAACGCGGGAAGAAAGCCAGGCATCTCCTGCTTGCGGCCGCGAGGCGGAGGACCAGTGCAAAGTGATCGGCCTCAGGCCAGGCATCTGTTCTGCCGCCGATGATCACGTGGATCGCGTTGGCGATTCCTATCGTCGGAGCGGTCTCCACCTACCCAACTGTCGTCACTGACGATCAAGTTGTCGATCCGGGCGACTCGCTTCGTTTCGGCGCAGCGATCGCCGCTCTCAACAGCACCACTGGCTGGGTCGCCGTGGGCGATAACCAGCTTCCAGGAAATGGAATTCGGCGCGGAGCAGTCACGCTTCTCAACCTCGAGTGTGCGGCATGCGTCGAGGTCACCATCGGCGATAACCAGCTTCCACTCGCTAACTACACCTTGTTTGGCTCGGCCGTCGCAACGGTGCCGGATCTGGGCGGTGTGACGCTCGCCGTCGGTGCTCCAGGTTGCGAACTGTTGGTTTGCGGGCTGGATGCGAGCCCTGCGAAAGCAGGCACGGTCGCCATCACGCCCAGCCGCTCACACCTGCCGCTCACACCTGCCGCGCACCCGGCCGCTCTCGCAGGCGCCGTCTACCTGCTCCGGCTTGCCTCCGAGGCCGACTGCCAGGCGGATCCGGCCGCATGCCTGCTGTCGTGGGTTGTCATTGAGCCCATGCAGGGGAGCTTCAACCCGTCGTCAGCCGGCCTGGACACGTACCAGCACTTTGGGCAGGCCATCGCAGCTCTGCCGGGCTTTCACAGCCAAGGCGGCACCGGGCTTGCGCTCGCGGTGGGCGCGGGCACAGACTTCTACGATGACATCCCTAGCACGGGGATGACCGGCATTCAGGGCACCGTCTTCCTCCTTTTTATGGACACCGGCGTGCAGCTGCCGTGCCAACTGCCTCCACGCTTTCTCCTCTGTTTGTTAGTTGCTCACCGCCTCCCCCTCCTTGCAGGCGGCTGGCCAGCATCCGTCAACGTCACCTCGCACCGGCGCATCGAGTCGGGCAAGGGCATCGAGACCATCCCTACTGGCGGCGTGTTCGCCACCTCCCTCGCCGCCTTGACCGACTTGAACGGGGACGGCACTGCAGAGCTGGCTGTCGGAGGGAGCATGAACTCCGATCGTTCCGGCGACGCCTGGATCCTTTTCCTCGAGGCCGACGGCACCGTCAGCGGCAGCCTCGACCTCGGTGAGAGCCGCTCTCACTCCGCAGCGCCCCTCCACGCCCCCACTGTACAGCCACACCACACCCACCCAACCGCCCACCTACCGCCGCCGCCAACCGCCGCACTGTTCTCTGTCGGCGCAGGAGTCAGCGCCGCCCTGCAGCCCAAAGACAAGTTTGGGTACTCGCTCGCGATGCTCGACGACATGGACGGAGATGGCACGCCCTCCCGCCCATCGCTGCATTTTGCCCTCCTCTGCCCGCCTCTGCCCGCCTCTGCCCTCCTCTGCCCTCCTCTGCCCGCCTCTGCCTCTCGTGCCCTCCTCTGCCCTCCTCCTGCCCTCCTCTACCGAGACGGCTCCCTCGCCCCCCCGCGCAGGCATGCCCGAGCTGGCTGTTGGTGCCGAGGGAAGCGGGGGCAGTGTCGGATCCGGAAATTCAGAGTCCGACGGCGCGGTATACATTTTGCTCCTCGGCAACGGCGGCGGTGCGGTCGATGTCAAGGATTGGACAGTGTGGCCCGGTCCCAACGGAGCTGCGTCAGAGTACGGCGCGGCGGTCGCAGCCATGTCGGTGCGCGGTGTTGCAGACCACCGCACGCCACCTTCCCCCCCCCTCCACGCTTACGCTGACTGTGTGTGCCTGTCCTCCCTATGCCTCTCCTCCGCAGGGCAAGCGCTTGCTCGTCGGGGCGCCAGCCGCTAGCGCGGTCCACGACATCACGTACTCGACAGATCCCAACAGCTGCACTGACTACATCGCCGAGGGCGTGAATTGCACCGGCCTGAGTGAGCTGTGTTGCGAGGTGGGGACCACGTGCGTCGGCGTGTGCCCGCGGACCACGTGCTTCAACGTGTTGGAATGGCAATGGCAATGTTTGTTTCCCTCGCCGCCGCCGCTCTCGCCCCCGTCGCCGCCGCCACCCCAACCGCCGTCGCCGCCGCCGTCCGCCTCGCCGTCGCCGCCGCCGCCCTCCACCTCGCCGTCGCCACCACCGCCGTCCGCCTCGCCGTCGCCACCACCGCCGTCGGCCTCACCCTCGCCGCCGCCTCCCTCCGCCTCACCGTCGCCGCCGCCGCCGTCCGCCTCGGACCCGCCGTGCTTCCCGAGCTCTGCGACGGTCCAGCGCGCCGACGGCGCTACCGCCCCCCTCTCCTCCCTCTCCGCCGGCGACTCGATCCTCGCTGCGGCGGCCGACGGCACCCTCGCTTTCGATGGCGTGAGAGCGTTTTCATCTGTTTCACAGTCGCTTACTTCTACTAGGCACCCTCGGCTTCGACGTCGTCTCCTCCTTCTCGCTGGCCGACCCGTCCGCCAAGGCGGCCTTCCTCTCGCTCGCCACCGCGACGGCGACGGTCACGCTCACCCCGACGCACAAACTGCCCGCCGGCCCGGCAAAGGCGCTCAAGCAGGCGTCCGAGGTTGCCATCGGAGAGACGATCTGGCTCGCGTCGCCGGCCGCGGGCGCGCTCGTGCAGGCGCGTCTATACCCCCAGCACCACACACACACCCCTGCCTCTCTCGGTGCGAGCCCCCCCCCCCCCCCCCCAAAATTGGGGAAACCTTTGGGGGGGGTGGGGCCCCCCCCCCCCCTAAAATATTTTGGGGAAACCCTTTGGGGAAGGTTCCCCCCCCCCCCCCCCCCCCCAGCATGTGGTGAAGCCTCTGTGGGGGTCCCCCCCCACCCCCCACCTTAGCATGTGGTTGAAGCCTCTGCGGACCCCCCCCCCCCCAAAAAAAAGCATGTGGTGGGCACCTCCCTCAGTCATGGTAATCTCTAGTCTTTCTTAGAGATTGAGAGGAGTGAGACCTGAGAGGAGTGAGACCAGTAGTCGGTTAGGTACCGCAGTTAGCTCAAGACCTTACCAGTACTGGTATCTCACCTAACCCAAAACAGGGTGTGTTGTTTCACATTCTGAGGTCGCCAGGACCTGAAAAAGCCGCCTTGATGTCGTATTCTGCTCCCTAACATAACATAAAAATTTTTAGGTGTCAATGCTTAGGGGTCAACCACAGTACTGGGGCGGGGACCCATGTGGCCATGACCCGAGCTGTGGGGAGGTGGGGGTGGAGCCAGAACGTGCGAAATGTTTGATCCTTCAAAAAAATATATGTTCCACAGCTTGGGCGGCAGCCCTTTCAGGTAACGACCGACGAGCTATAAGCAGGTTTTGTACAGGCTACACAGCCTGGAACCTAGCCTGGACGCTGGAGCCTGCCCTGGTCTACTTCTCTCCTATCTACCGAGTAGCTCAGTAGCTTGACACAGCTCGTGACACTGCGCAAGCAGGACGGGTGTGTGGGGTGACAGCAAAGAGATGTAGAAGGCGCGCGCACACCACGAGAGAAAGCAGACGCGAGCTATCTGCCTATGCTGCAGGCCCAGCAAAGAGGTGGAAGATGAAGGCTTGCTCAATCTCATCAGCCTGTTTGCACCAATCGCCAAGGTTATATCGCCGCGGGAGCTCATGAACAGGGATTGATTTGTTGGCAAAGAACGCCGCAAGAAATCCTTGGTCGCCCAAATCGTACGACCATAGCTCGCCCGCGAGCTCGATCATCTGAGCATGCACCAACGCGTCAGGCCTCACGACCATCACCCCAGAGTTGAACGGCAGCAACGACGGTCGTTGTATGTGCTTCATACCATGCAAAAATTCGCCCGCAGAGGCCCACTTGGGGTCCATTGCGGCAGCGGGGGTCGGGATAGCCAACAAATGATCAACGTTGCGTCGGACAACGGTGTCCCCGTCGAGCACTACCACCTTGTCGAATTGCGTGAGACCCCAAACACTCAGTTTGCTGAACGTGAGCGCCTTTTTCTTCAACCCTCCATTTGGCAGCGTGAGCCCCTTTGGCAACGGCCCGAGAGGTAGCACTGTCACATTCTTGGTGATGAACAACGTGGCCTCAGCATCTGTGAGACCATCTGCTAACAGCACAGTCGGAAAGCGTGATTTCACGAGCTGCAGACTGACAACTGCACGAAGTGCTCCACGGATCTTGCCAATCCGTGTATGCCTTCCAGTGGCCGGGGCTCCATGCGGGTTTGTCGTGTGATTTGCCATCAATCGCAGCACAAGCACGAAGGCAAACTTGCCCTTGCGGGGCACAGCTGGAAGTGCCGGTGCGACGGCGGACAGGGCGTCCTTCGGGCACAGTTGAGACCGGCGACACTCGGTGTAGCAGGGCAGACACGCACAACCATCGCGTGGCACCATGTATCCGCACAGATAGTTCACAGCTGCGTTTGTCCGGCCCACAAGACCCTTGATCTTGCTGTAGCAACCGTGGCGTGACAGCTCGAGTGAGCAAGAGGGGACTGTGTCGTTCATGGGTGCTGGCCGTTGCTGAATTGCTGCCAAAAAGTCTGGTGGACAGCTCTGACGCCGCCAGCAGGGCGCCACCGTATCCCTCTTCCAGCCAGACATGCAGAAGCGGTCAATGAACTGCGCGTACCTGGAGCCGTGCAGAGGGCCACCCGGTGGGAGCCACCATTGTGTCCGAGCTGCTGCCAGTGCGCGCTGCTGTAACTCCGCACGATTGTTGAGAGGCTGGTGCCTGAGAGGCGCACGTGGCCTGCCTGATACTGTTGCGCGCACAAGCTTGCGCTGGCCGTCTGCTGCGCGAGACTGGAGATGAAGAGCCTTTCTGCGCGTGCCCTGGCGCGTCGATTTCCACGCCGCGCTGAGTATACACGGTGGCAGCAACGTGGTGTTGCAAGACACGCCTGACCAGCCGCAGCATTGCTCCGCGCCTCCGGCTCGCAGCTCGCACCCTCGGCCACCGCACTGCCCGCAGCTGGGTGAACAGCAAGCCGGAACACCGTGCATTCCAAACCCAAATATGCTCGTGCCAGGGCATTGGCGCGACAAGCGGTCGGGGGGTTGACTGAAAGGGCACTGCGTCACCAGCAGCATTGCCGAACTTCATGTTTTTCCATTGGCTGGTTGGCTCGACAGACCTTCTTGGGCAGACTATACGAGTAGTCGAGCGCGTCGGAGAGGTGTTTTTTTTGTTACACGAAAAAGAGGGCTACACACGGCCCTCTACGCTGGGGCGCCGGCGCCCTACTGGGCGCCCCCCGCTCCCTTCCCCTTAGAGCCCCCCATCCCACTAGCATTCCCCCGAGGTCCCTCGCGGTCGCGCGACGCCGCACCACAATGGCGCGCTGTGCCTCGTCCGCGAGCGCCGTCCAGAGCTGCACCGACAGTCGCTGCAGCGCAAACGGCATCCACTCGCGCGCCGACCACGACGTCTGGTCGTACTGCCACCACGTGAGCTTCCGGCCCGCCACCTTAGCCACCCGCATCAGCAGCTCCTCCACCCCCGCGCTCATTGCGCCGAACTCCTCGAAGAGCAGCGCCTCCACGCGGCACTTCCCCTCTGCGTCGGTGTACTGGCCCTTTACATGTACAGGTGTTCCGGTGGGGGGGACCCACCTCCCCGCGCGGGGCCGCTCCGGGGCGACCCGGGCGCCCTCCGACCAAACTGCTCTATTACTATCATATAACAGTACCTCGTCAACGACATTGCACCTGGACTAACAACGTCGGGGGGGCAGGCGATGATGGCATACGCCTGCTGTGTGAAGAGGCGAGTGGCATCGGCGGGCCCCCGTTGTCCGAACACAACTCGGCCTTCGATATTCGGGCAGTGCGGGAGCGGATCGAGGGAGATCGGGTGAACGAGGAAGCGACGCGACTGATAGACAGCCTGCGACCTAGCGGAGCGCGAGGGGGAGGAGAGGCGAGGCCAGCGGCGAGCCCGGGCCCTGCCCCCCTACCTCCTTGGGGGGAAGCAAGGGCTAGATCCCCCCCCCGGAGCGCGGTGAACGATCGGTGCGTGGAGCCGCGGCTGGAGAGGCCGCAGGGTCGTGGGGCCGCCCCCGAGGCTCCACACCAGGCGTCGCGGCCGCCAGTACCGCCACCGTACCCGCCCCCCCCACCTCCGCCTCCGCCCCCGCCGTTGGGACGACCGCAGGGTCAAGGGGCCGCCCCTGAGGCTCCACACCAGGCGTTACGGCCGCCAGTGCCGCCACCGTACCCGCCCCCCACCGAGGGTGGTGCGGGGCCGGCCGTGGGAAGGCCGCCGGCCTTCGGGCCCGCCCGGAAGCCGGGACCTGAGGGCCCCGGTCGAGACCTGGTATCTACTTCCGGGGGGGGGAAAAATCGAGTTGACTGTGCCCCGGTGGTGGGATCCG